AGCAGAAACAGTCCAGTAGCTCAGGACTGGCCCTTCACACTGGTCCCTCCCTCCCTCCCTGGTGGTGGACAGTGCATCGGCCCAGCAGTTTCCCCCTCCAGGCTTGTCTCCTACTTGAATGCTCCTGTATGCTCCTGACAGAGCAGTTCCCTTCCCCACTCCAAGTCCTCTGTTTGCAGCCAGTAATAAAAGTAAGGGCCTAAAGCTCCTGGCAAACATTTAGTTAAAATCATGATGGAATCTGATTGACAATCCCAACAATCGCACCTCCAGCCATGCTCATGTTAATGGCAGGAGGTACGATTATGAGATCAGAAGTAGTACAAGTTTGCATTGTAGAGAGCTGCAGTAATTGTGATCATGCAGTAATCATGACCTCTGCACCAGCAAATAGCAAGCCAGTCAGGCAATCAACACTCTCAGCCCCAGGGGCACATTGGAGACCTTGATTCCAATGCACCGTCAAGGCTGGGAACCCCGATCAGCGGATCAGCCTGGCCACACATTCAATTTACATCATGGTGGGAACCAGCCACAAAGTCATCACACATACTTTGTGTAACAATGTGTGGCCAGGTTGCCACCCAAGATGTGATTAACTAGTTAATCATGTCTTAAGTGTAACTTCTGCCAGGGGCTTAATGGTACAGGCCCTGCTTCCAAGATGCCCTGGGTGTGCCACCCAGCGTGGGATTCATCTCAGCCAAGTAACATGGAGGGGCTTCTTCCACCTTCTTTCCTCAAATGTGAAATTTCACCACAAACTGCCCCTGCTGGAAACCCAGGGTTGGAAAGATTCAGCTCAAGGCCACTGGAAGCCTTTTGATACATAAATACCTCACAGCCTTAATAGTCCATTATTTCATCGGCTGCTTCCCAGTAGCTTTCTCCCTGCCCCCCAAACCCAGCACTAACCACTCAGGAAGGGTCTGATAGATCTTGCTATAAAACTGTGAACCCAGTGGTGTTTACATCAGGGAGGAAAAATATGTATTTAAGGATTATGTAAGCAGAACAAGTGTCATACAATCATGGACTAGATGACCTCTTGAGGTCCCTTCTAACCCCCTGCTCAAAACAGGACCATTCCCAAATAGATCATCCCAGCCAAAGCTTTCTCTAGCCAGGTCTTAAAAACCTCTAAGGATGGAGAGTCCATGGTCTCTCTGGGTAACCTGTTCTGGTGCATTATTACCCTCCTAGTGAGAAAATTCTTCCCAATACCTAACCTAAACTTCCCTTGCTACAACTTGAGACCGATGCTCCTTGCTCTGTCATCTGTCACCACTGAGAACAGCCTAGACTCTAGATCCATTGTTTTTCAAACCCCCCTTCAGGTAGTTGAAGACTGCTATTAAATCCCCCGCAGTTTTCTCCTGTCCAGACTAAATAAACCCAGTTCCCTCAGCCTCTCCTCATAAGTCATGTCCCCCAGCCCCCGAACCACTTTCATTGCCCTCTGCTGGACTCAATTTGTCCACATCCTCTCTCTGGTGGGGGGCCCAAAACTGAACCAATACTCCAGATGTGCCCTCACCAGTGCTGAATAGAGGGGCATAATTACTTCCCTTGACCTGCTGGCAATGCTTCTACCAATGCAGCCCAGTATGCTGTTAGCTTTCTTGGCAACACAGGCACACTGTTGGCTCATAATCAGCTTCTTGTCCACTGTAACCCCCAGGTCCTTTTCTGCAGAGCTGCTTCCCAGCCAGTCAGCCCCCAGCCTGTACCAATGCATGGGATTGTCCATCCTAAGTGCAGGACTTTGCATTTGTCCTTGTTGAACGTCATGAGATTCCTTTTGGCCTGATCCTCCAATTTGTCTAGATCACTCTAAATCCTAGCCCTACCCTCCAGTATGTCTACCACAAACCCCCAGCTCAGTGTCATCTGCCAACTTGCTGAGGGTGCCCTCTATGTCCTCTTCCAGGTTATTGATGAAGGTATGGAACAAAACCAGTCCCAGCACTGACCCCTGAGGCACTTCACTTGATACCAGCTGCCAACTAGATAGAGCCATTGATTACTACCCCTTGAGGCCGACAATCCAGCCAGCTTTCTATCCACCTTATAGTCCTTTCATCCAACCATACTTTATTAGCTTGCTTGCAAGATGTTGTAGGAAGACTGTATCAAAATCCTTGCTAAAGATATAAGTACATCACCTCCACTGGTCTCCCAACATCTACAAAGCCATCATAGAAGGCAATCGGGTTGCTCAGGCATTACTTGCCCTTGGTGAATCTATGCTGATGGTTCCTAATCACCTTCTCCTCCAAATGCTTAGAAATGGATTCCTTAAGGATCTGCTTCATGTTTTTTCTGGGGACTGAGGTGAGGCTGACTGGTTTGTAGTGATTATAGGAACAAAAGTATTCTAGATCCTGTTTTTTCCCTTCTTTAAAGATGGGCACTATGTTTGCCCTTTTCCAATCATCCAGGACCTCTTCTGATCTCCATGAGTTGTGACTGCAGAGCCACTGGCCATCATCTTTGACATCAGCCAGCTCCCTCAGCTGCATCCCATCCAGCCCCAAGGGCTTGTACATGTCCAGCTTTTCTAAATAGTCCTTAACTTGTTCTTTTGCCACTGTTGGCTGCTCACCTCCTCCCCAAACTGCGCTGCCTGGTGCAGTAGTCTGGGAGCTGACCTTGCCTGTGAAGACTGAGGTAAAAAAAGGCATTGAACACTGTAGCCTTTTCTGCACCCTGTCACTAGGTTGCCTCCCCCATTCAGTAAGGGACCCACACTTCACCTAATCTTCCTTTTGTTAGTGATATACTTGTGGAAACCCTACTTGTTACCCTTCACATCCTTTACTAGCTGCAACTCCAATTGCACTTTGGCCTTCTTGACTCTATCCCTGCATGCCCAAGCAAGCTCTAGTACTCCTCCCGAGTTGTTCGTCCAAGTTTCCACTTCTCATAAGCTTCCTTTTCGTGATTTAATTTACTGACATGTTCCCTGCTCAGCCAAGCTGGTCTTCTGCTATACTTGGTAGTCTTCCTGCACATTGGGATGATTTGTTCCTACACTCCCAGTAAGGCTTCTTTAAAGTACAGCCAGCTCTCCTGGACTCCTCTCCCCCTCAGACTGGCTTCCCCATCATCTGGCCATGCATTAGTCGAGGCTGGAAATCACAATGTTCCTAACCAACAGAGCAGTGAAGTTCTGGGGTAACAGGGCAGGGTTTCAAGATGGAGCTAAGGAAGTCTATGAGGGCGATTGATTATATAGCATAGTTGCCTGCAGCAGCAGGTGACTGGACTCAGTGCCCAGGAGGTCCTTTTAAGTCTCCTCTCCCACAGTCCTTTATTTCTATAAAAAGTTTTATTTGCTTATGGGGAGGGATTTATTACTACCACTGCATCCTCTACAATAGAATTAATAGTAACCAATAGGGTTGTGCAAAGCTTTGGATCATGATTTGGATTTGGAGATGATTCAGATTATTTGGAAGCTGAATCTACAAATCCAGATCGAATTGCAGGAAGCTTTAGGCTTTCCGAATCAATTCGGAAAAGATTCGGAGATTCGGTCATAGTGTATAATGGGGAAATCAATGAGATATCTGTAACTGTTGTCTTTTGGCTTATTCAGATGAAACATGCAGGGATGGTAGCCTCTGCTGAGAGCACGATGTGTGCCAAGTTTCAAGGTGATAGGTGCAGGGGTTTCTGGGAAACTGCACCCCAATATTCTGAAAGCAAAACATGTGTCACGCGTGTGTTAAACCACAGCGGGGTCAAAACTACAGGGCTGGTAGCTCTTACTGAGGCCACAAAGCCTGCCAAGTTTCAAGGAGATAGGAGCAGGAGTTTGGGGGAAGCTGCACCACAAATTCTTGAAAGCAAAACTCATGTCACATGTATGTGTTACACCACAGCAGGGTGAAAACTGCAGGGGTGGTGGCCCCTGGTGAGGCCACAAAGCTTGCCAAGTTTCCAGGTGTAGGGGCTTGGGGGAAACTGTACCTCAAGCTGTGGACAAGCAAAACTCGTGCCATGGGTGACACTGTGTGCGTTAAGGTGCAGCGGGGTGACAGCTGCAGGGATGGTGGCCCCTGCTGTGGCCATGAAGCCTGCCAGCTGTCGAGGAGATCGGTG